AAAACTCCGCATTACACATCATGTCGATGAAATATCGATTCCCCGTGTGATTCCTTCATAGAAGAAGCTCACCAATTGCAATGGTGTGGAATGGATTGTAATAATTCTTTGTACCGATCCCAACATTGGTAGAATTGCTCATTGAATTTCTCCGAAAAGTTTTGGATTTGTTTTTTTAGAGCAGTGGTTTTATGCACCGGGAAAAATTTGTTTAAAAACTCGGAGAGTATTTGGTTCCAAGATGTTATGGATTGAGGTCTCAAGGAATTAAGCGATGTTTTTTCCTTATNGTGGATTTTGAAAAAAAATTTGTGTGGGTGGGGTTGATAAATACCCTTGTGGATTAGTCAGGGGGTATTGGGAGCTAGATGCTTAACCTTGAGATTGAAATTGATTTTGTCTAGGAGGCGCAAGATTGCAAGTGTGTGAATGTAGAGAGAATGATTGCCTCATTTGGTTAAAGGCATTGACTTGCTTGTGATACACTTTTTTAAGTGTCGAAATGTTAGGGCACTCTGATATGGAATGATCTACACTCTCACAAATTGAGTAGCCTTCCTCAATCTTTGAAACATTTGACACCTCGTGACTCCTATTTACCTCAAGACTCTCAACCTTCCTAGATAACTTGACAATTTTGGAAAACAAGTCTTCCCAGTCTCTCAAGTCATAAATCCCTCCCCCATGAGTTTGGCTATTCCCTTGAGGAGAAGACCTTGGTACATTGGTGGGATCCGTAATGTCCTATTATTGTGCATTCTGTGCCAATGTATCAAAGTAATCTAAGGCCTTATTGGGGTCTTTGTTCAAAAACTCCGCATTACACATCATGTCGATGAAATATCGATTCCCCGTGTGATTCCTTCATAGAAGAAGCTCACCAATTGCAATGGTGTGGAATGGATTGTAATAATTCTTTGTACCGATCCCAACATTGGTAGAATTGCTCATTGAATTTCTCTGAAAAGTTTTGGATTTGTTTTTTTAGAGCAGTGGTTTTATGCACTGGGAAAAATTTGTTTAAAAACTCGGAGAGTATTTGGTTCCAAGATGTTATGGATTGAGGTCTCAAGGAATTAAGCGATGTTTTTTCCTTATCTCACGGGAGAAAGGGGAACAATTTCAGCCTATCTATATCTTCCATACCATGATTAGTGAGAAAGGTTGCAACTATTTCCTCAAAATCCTTTATGTGTAAGTAGGGGTTCTCCTTCTCAATTCCATGGAACGTGGGGAGTAGTTGCAACATCTCCGGTTTAACTAGGAATAGATGAGCTTGGACCGGAAGGAGGATGCATGAGGGTGTGGTGTTTTGTGTGGGTTGAAGGAAATCCCTCATTAACCTCGCCGGAGGCTCAATGTGGATGTTGTTCTCTTTGTTCACGGGAGGGGAAAATTGCATTCTCGGATTGCGCACTAGGTTCTTGTCCTCTCTCACCCTGTTACATATCTGGATTGACACCTACATTCTCAAAATTATCACTCGCATCCTCAGTTAGGTCTTGGTAAATGTTCATATTGGGGCTCAAGGTTTGTCTACCTAGTCGGTTTTGTTCGGCCCTTCCCCACATATAACAAATTAACTAAAAATAAAGAGTGTAAACAAACAAAAGTATATACAAGTATAAACGTACCTTAGCCCATGATGAACATCACGAGACTTACCTCCGTTGTCCGGAAATCACCTTCTTGATTCAACGTTTGCCTTCCCCGGCAACAGTGCAAAAAATGTTTGTTTGTTTCTGTTGTAGTATATCCTAACCTCCAAACATCATCCCTTAAGGCGTATAGTCTATGTGTGGAGGGGAGTGTCATTCTCCTTTAGAATGATGTCAAAAGAAAGAGCAACGAAATGGTGGGTGAATGAAATGTGTGTTTGTGAACAAAAATGCTCTTCAAGTGCAGAGAGATTTTTGCTTGTCCTGTTTTACTTGGAATTGTATTCCAAGGTCGTCTCCTCAAGGAAGGAGGTGTATCATCATGAAGGTGATTTTTGTAAAAATAAAGCGTAAAATTTTTTGTTAGTTGAATGTTAGTTTGTGATTGTGATGAAAATGAAATAGAAAAAAATTTGGCTAATTCAAACGGTTCACTCCAATGGAAATACTAAGTCAACTCGAACCCTTCCTCTAATAGAGCATAGATGTACGATTGATTCGTGGAAANAAATACTAAGTCAACTCGAACCCTTCCTCTAATAGAGCATAGATGTACGATTGATTCGTGGAAAGCTAGAGACGAGATGGAACTGAGGATCCAAGCATAATCCGTAACAAGTCTACGGGATATTAAAGACTCACAATCCCATCCACCCTCAACCTAGTCAAACCGAACCATCGTACTCTGAGTGGAGGAAGAAAAATGAGTTGAAATGGTATACCTAAGAGGAGGTCTCCCTTGGATTAGCCAACTTAAAGACTTATCTATTCATACTTAAGATAAAGACAACAATGTAATGAGAAGATATTATGAAGAAATGAAGATTGGAACTAAGCTAATGCAAAGAAACATAAACTAAGAGAGAATACATTTAATACCCATTTTAAAACTAAGAAAATGAAGAATTTGAATGCATTAATAGTGAAAATTGAAGGTTAGTCATGAAGATCTAGCCGAGTGCTTGTTTTGAACCAATGAGTTTTTCTATGCAAGAGTCATCTGTGTCATAGAAAGTACTAACAGTTATATAAAGTACCTTAGCTTTGCTAGATGCATTCAATCATTCAATAAGCAAGCGGAATATAAAACATTAAGTATAAGAAAAGTGAATCACGTTCCACCCTTCGCGGCTTTGGTAAAGCTCAAAAAAAGTGGAAGAGTTTCACTCCTATAAGGGAATAAGGAAGCTCAAATAATACAATAAAAGAAAGTAATATTTAAAGTAAAATAAAGCAATAAATTAAAAGAGAGTAATAATATAATAAAAAAAAACAATAATACAATAAAAAAAAACAATAATTACTTTTGAAGGGTTTTTCACTACTAAAAGATGGATCTTTACAAGCCCGAAGGGGTGATATTTATAGGCAAAAAGGGAGGGCTTGTATTATTCTTTGATTCCCTTTGTTTTGAGCTTTGATAATTTGCACATCAGTAGTTTGTAGCTTTGATAATTGACTCCCCAGTAGTTTGTAGCTTTGACGCACATTTTCTAGAAAAGAACAACAATTAATGCATTATCTCTAATTCACACACTAACCCTAATTTGACTTACTTTGACTAATTTAACTTTGTTTAACTAACGCAATTGACCTATTAACTTAATTAAATTATGCATTAATTAGAGTTAATCACCCTCCTCTTAGTCCACTAAGCCAGTCGAGTAACGGTGTCCTGTAGGTTGAGGATACCCATTTTGTCGACTATGTAATCCCAGCCTTGTGCCTTATTTTTGTCGTGAGAGAGGCGAGTTACACCAATGTTGTCTCTAGACTTCTACGGAGCCACTCTTGTCCGTCATCAGACAAGGGTCCGTTTTGTCACTTTTAATGTGATGAGGATATGTCCCGCCCTTCTATGGGACTGGGCACCTACTGCAACATTGGTTGTTTGTCGGGTTGTTGATGTTTGTCGTGGTGCTGGAATGCTGCCATGACACTATTGTCCGTACCAATCTTGTTGGACCTTGTTGGGTCCCACCGTCATGTCAATTGATAATTCCTGCCAATTGTCATTCCATAGTGTGGGCACGTGTTCTAAATTTATCGGGTATTACAATTATTATTTTTGTTTTGTTCAAACTCAAAATAAAACAGAAAAAGAAAACTTTGGATGCCTACTGCCATTTATTATATGGACTCCTTACTTCTGACTTCTATTGTATTTCTCAGTTTATAAGATATTGATGTCAAATCAAATGGTTTTTGTTTTTATTTAGAATAAAGTGTCTGATTTTGTGAATCACCTAGTTGGAGATGACAATATCCATCTCGCAGCACCAACTACCTCAGATTTTAGCATTGACAAACAATTTTTCTATTGTTTCATGTTGTTTGGAGTGTTCGTTCATGCTTTTGGGATTGTTATTTCATTTTAGGGTCCTATCAAATGTTGTCATTTCTTCAATTTAACTAGTTTCTGTGTGAGGTGTCTTGCATATACCCATCCTCCCTTTCCACCCCATTCCTTATATTTAAAGAAGCATGGATCATCTCATCATGGCATACCCTCAAAGTGAATGTGGCTAATTGAAAAAATCCTAACAACCATTTAACTAGTTGGTTTGCTTAGAGAAGTACCAGTAGCCACGAGATGAACCATAATTTATTAATTTTATGTCTTTTAACATGTGTTATTATATAATACTTAAAAAAATACCTAGTTGTCTTGAACAAATATAGTTTCCTCTTATTTGTGTCATTGTACATGAATTTGCTAGGAAACGATAAAGGTTAGGATAAAAAATTATCCATATTGCTGCGCGTATCTACTTCCATATCCGAGGCATATTTGTCTTAGATACCGACATTCGAGAAGTATCCAGAGATAAAAAAAATATTTTGTTAATTTTGGGCATGTATGGTGTGTATTTGACATGTATACTCGAATATCTAATGAGATTATGATATGCGAAACAAAATCAGATTCGGATATTTTGACCAAAACGGAGTAGCTGTGCCTCGGAGCAAAGCATCCTTGAATTATTTCAGTTACACTAAAAAGTTTCAATCTGTGATACTTTTACCTTTGTTCTCAATCTATTTCCTCAGATCTTTTCTGACAGCTTGGAAACCTTTTGATGTTTGAATTACTGTATGTCTAACCTCAAAGCAGCAGTTCAGCCTGACCATTGACCTAATAAGCCCGTCGATTACCAAGACCCTTTCCTCCTGCCTACTTATTTCATCCTTGCACAAGGATCGAAGCCTAGGCCTTAGGTCTTCAGGATAGGTCTCCCACTTATAGTTTTAGTACCCACGTCTGGGAACCAGTACTGAGCATAGTTACAGGAGTATATATGATATGCTAATGGATCAGCTATTTTGAAGGGTATTACAGAGATGGCGGATGTTAGTATTAGTATTTACATTTTTGAATTCAAGTCAATTAATGATAATAAAGGAACAGATAAATTACCGGAAGGCCCCAATTTCAAGATGCGCAGGGAAATTCTTTATGTCAAGCAAAGCCTCGACAGAGCTTTGATTCATGAAACAAATATTACTCCTGAAACAAAAAGCATCTTACTGATTTATCTAACTTTTCTAGAACACTTTTCACAACTCTAATTCAACATCATATTTGGTCTTACTTGATTTCTTTTTCTGCTTGCTTCAAAATAGTCCTGCTATTCAAGAGAACAGGGTTACAACAGTTCAGTGCTTGTCTGGTACTGGTTCATTGAGGGTTGGAGCTGAGTTTTTGGCCAGACATTATCACCAGGTAAAGAAGAACTCTATTCTCTTTTGTTCTTCTTTCCCTGTTAGTTATGTAAGACTGCTGTCAATATGCCTGGTGATATTATGGTCTTCTAGCAGCACACGATATATATACCCCAGCCAACATGGGGAAATCACACCAAAGTTTTCACACTAGCAGGGTTATCTGTGAAGCCTTACTGCTACTATGATCCAGCAACACGTGGACTCAACTTCAAAGGTTTGTGAAATTCCTCTGCACAAAGTAGTGAATATTATGGGATTACCCTCACANGATATATATACCCCAGCCAACATGGGGAAATCACACCAAAGTTTTCACACTAGCAGGGTTATCTGTGAAGACTTACTGCTACTATGATCCAGCAACACGTGGACTCAACTTTAAAGGTTTGTGAAATTCCTCTGCACAAAGTAGTGAATATTATGGGATTACCCTCACATTGTAATACATTTCTGTCAAAACTTGGACTAAATGATATTTTGTATTCTTTTTGCTATTTATGTATCTTTGATTAAGATGGTAACTCGTTTTCTTCTAAAGACTTATATTACATTGTTGAGTTGTATTTTTTTTCTTCCTGAATGGTTGCATATGTAGTGAGTGATATGAACATACATCCATGCATGTGTACATGAAGTATACCCTATTATGGATATCTGTCGCTATTTGTGAGTCGTTGTTCTTGTTCATGTAGAGGTAAGTCTTTTTTGGTGGATAACAGGCTTGTTAGAAGATCTTGGTTCTGCACCATCCGGAGCAATTGTGCTTCTTCATGCATGTGCTCATAACCCCACTGGTGTTGATCCAACTCTTCAGCAGTGGGAGCAGATCAGGCAGCTGATGAGATCGAAAGGGCTGTTACCTTTCTTTGATAGTGCCTATCAGGTGGGTCTACGAATGCTGTAAATGTGAGAACAGATTACCGACTATGTGGATTGACATGATAAGGATAGTGGCCATTCTCTTACCAGCATTATTTTATACCAAAACATTGAGTTGATGGGTTCTTGAAATTCATTAGGGTTTTGCAAGTGGAAGTCTGGATGCAGATGCACAGTCTGTTCGCATGTTCGTTGCTGATGGTGGTGAATGTCTTGTAGCTCAGAGTTATGCAAAGAATATGGGCCTTTATGGGGAACGTGTTGGTGCTCTAAGCATTGTAAGTTGAGACTGAATAATGGGGTTTTTAAAGAAACTTTCCTCTCTTGTTTATAATTCCATATATTGCCTTCCCTTCCTTTTTTTGGATGTTGCTGACTTCGTTAACCTTTGCGACCAAGAGAGACAATCCTAATGATTTGATCTTGATGTTCCTGTTAGCATTAGTGCCTCATTTTCCAAAATTATTATTTTTTAGATCTATAAAAGGAATCTGCAGTTTGCCTATTATCAATATCATGTTATTAACTGAAAACATTGACAAAAAAATAAATAAAGAGCTTCCAATATCAGGCAATTTATTGTAGTGAGTGCCATTTGATCAGTAAATAACTTGTTAATCACTTCCACAATCCATATAAAAAATGATAGAAGGTTAAATATCATTTTTTGTTATATTCGCAGTCTATTTTTCCCTTGTCCCGAAGATAGACGAGCCAAGTGCAACCCAGAGTCATCACATTGTGCAGCCAGAATAGTGGCCCCGTTGCAAAATATTTATAAGAACTCCCAGTCAGAGACATTGGAACAAGCTGGAAAGCATTTTTAGGTTCCATTGACATGTCTTGTGTCAGACTTCTTGTCCACACTTGATATGTTTTTTGTAATCTTTCCTTTTATATCAATAATTCGTTGTTTCTTATAAAAAAAAATGGAAGAACCAGATAAGTTAGTCTGGACCACTGAACAAAAAAAGATTAAAACCCCTCAATTTTTGCACTTCAATTTATGGTTTTAGATACTGGAAAAAAATTAGCGATTAATTCTCTCCAAAATCTTAACTTCTGACTGACCTACAGTTTTCCTTCTGTATTAATATGGCTTTTGGGGACATGCACAATGTCCCTGGCTTGGCAATTCTTAAACACTCTTGTAAATTCTATCAAGTAGAAGAATAGCTGTGAAGCGAACAGTGCTGTATGTGATACTGCTGGCAGCAACATCCCTCTCTACTGTCGAGAAAAATTCTTAGTTCTTGGGTGTCAAAGCTAACGTCATAAGAAGGAGAATTTGGGGCTGAGGAACCACAGGAGAGGAGGAGATTGAAGAAATAAATTCCCTTTCCTGCCCTTTATGAGTAAAAGAAACATTGCACTTCCCAAACAAGTCTTTATTCCTTCTGCATAAGTTTTTATTGAACTTTGATTTACTCTCTTTGAGAGACCATGAAAATTTCCTCAATTGTTGGTCCCTTTTTATGGGTCTATGAAGAAAAATAAGAAACATCTACATGAGAAGAACTGTGGATATTGCTAGAATTCACCGCAAATTTGTAATTTTATGGTACACAAATTTGAGACCTGGTCTCATAATAATATCTCACTTGATTTTCTATTTATAGGTTTGCAGGACTGCTGATGTGGCAAGCAGAGTTGAGAGCCAATTGAAGCTTGTGATCAGGCCCATGTATTCAAATCCACCCATCCATGGGGCATCTATTGTTGCTACCATCCTCAAAGACAGGTATTTAATACTCATTTGAGAGCTTAGCTTATGCCGTTTGACCAAAGATTCAAAGTTTGGAAGCTGAAATCTTTTCTTTCTTTCTCTCTTTCTACTCCAACAAAGGATTACTATAGTTAGCCAGATTTTAAAGCTAGNCGTTTGACCAAAGATTCAAAGTTTGGAAGCTGAAATCTTTTCTTTTTTTCTCTCTTTCTACTCCAACAAAGGATTACTATAGTTAGCCAGATTTTAAAGCTAGAGTGGCAAAGTTCTCCATTAACCTTTCATGCGCTCTGCCTGCAGGAACATGTTCCAAGAATGGACGATGGAGTTGAAGGGAATGGCTGACCGTATTATCAGCATGCGGCATCAACTGTTTGATGCTTTACGTGCTCGAGGTAATGTATTGTCGTCTTTATATTTTTTCTCAAGGTCCTGTATAAATTAAGCTGAAAAAGTTCAAGCTCTTTTAGGCTCATGTGATAACAAAACAACTCAAGTCTGATTAACGCTGAGCTTATCCTTTTCTTTTTATTGGTTGGGGGGTCGTTACAAATACGACAAATATACACCAACCCTTTGAAGGATGAGGTTCCAGTTTGCCATTCTTCTTATTTATAGGCTTCCAGTCTCCTGACAAATTCGCTCTTCTATCTTTGCAGAATTCACCTGGGTCTCTTACTCACCTTTGATTTCTAGGGCATGATGTCTTTCTTTAAGATTATTAAATTGGCCAATCGTCTTTTGATTCTCAATCAATTTCCCCCCTTTGGGTCTGGCTCAGCTTGATTAGGGTTCTGAACGACTGTTTAAAAGTTATCAGCTGTGTTGAAAAAAGAAGTCAAATAATAAAGGAGAAGTTCTCTCACTTATTAAAAACTGGGTTTCGCTGTTCTTATCAATCTAGACTCTTAAAGTTCCCCTTGTACCTGCTTTGCCCTACACCTGGAAGCTCTACCCCCTCACCAAAGCACCAATGGATCTGCCTTTATTTTTCCATCCTATATCATTGATATCAANTGGCTTCACCAAAGCACCAATGGATCTGCCTTTATTTTTCCATCCTATATCATTGATATCAAATTCCATTTGCGGAAATATCTAATATTTTTTAAATTCTTTAGACTAGATATTTGATCATTTCCACATGTAAGCATTTTCTTTGCTTTCGCCATGGTCCTTGGCAACTACTACTACACTTGTACAATACGCCTGTCAGCTTTGAAGATATGTGGTTTACAGTCTGAGCCAAGCCAACAGCTGTGTTGAGCTGTCAGCTTTGTTGGAATTGCTTAGCTAAGCTCGACCAAGCCTGGCAATACTCGCTCAGGTCTCAATTTGAGGTTGAACGCCTCATTGTGAGTTAAGCTGAGTAACCACTCCCCCCCAACACCTCCCTCCACCNCACAATACGCCTGTCAGCTTTGAAGATATGTGGTTTACAGTCTGAGCCAAGCCAACAGCTGTGTTGAGCTGTCGGCTTTGTTGGAATTGCTTAGCTAAGCTCGACCAAGCCTGGCAATACTCGCTCAGGTCTCAATTTGAGGTTGAACGTCTCATTGTGAGTTAAGCTGAGTAACCACTCCCCCCCAACACCTCCCTCCACCTCTCCAAAAAAAAAAAAACCCAAACCCACCCAGATAAATGCTCAGAGGCGCACAACCAACTCCGCCATTTTTTTTTTAGCTTGTTTCTTTATCTGTACAGGGCAAAATCATTTTCTAAAACTTTGGAAAGTGGCTCTTAGTGATTAACAGAATCCCCTGATGTAGATCGTACTAGGGAAGAATTAGGGATGAGAAGGGAAGAAGAAAGGAATGAGAAAAAAAGAAGGGGATGAGAATAGAGAGAATTTTAGGAAGAAAATTCAATATCAATAATCAATAATTAAAGTCTAATCTCTNTGATGTAGATCGTACTAGGGAAGAATTAGGGATGAGAAGAGAAGAAGAAAGGAATGAGAAAAAAAGAAGGGGATGAGAATAAAGAGAATTTTAGGAAGAAAATTCAATATCAATAATCAATAATTAAAGTCTAATCTCTCAACAAATATGTGTCTCTTATATATATAAGGAGTTCGCAAATCCTATATATATAAGGAGATCACAAACCCTAAAATAAATAAATAATTAAAATGACAACTAAACCCTTAAAAGTTAAAAGAAAATATTTAAAAGATAAATATTAAATTACTTTCATGATTAATCTAAATATCTATCCAATTCATATACGATCCCCATCATTCTCTTCCGGTTGAGAAAAACTCTATCCGGAAAGTCTTCAACGTAGAAGTACCCTACGAGAGCAAAACGAAAATGACAGAATGCTTTATCTAGAATGAAATAACCATCAATATATTTCCATCGATCAGAATAAATGCAAGAACCTCCACCCGTAGCAATGTAAATCTAGTCATGTAACACATCATCCATTTACCCCCAAATACGCGATAGAAGTGGAAAGATAAGATATCCAATTCCTACACGATCCCCACCAACCCCCCCTTTTTTTTCTCCTTTTCTTTTAACCCCTCAACTTATATTTGGGAGGGCTTAGCGGATATGCTCATTTTGTGCAAAGAAATGTGATCAGAAATAAATCTCTGGGGCTCTCGTCTTTGGAATTGTTGACGTAGCCAGAGTTCGTGGACAATATAGATCATTCTGAATAGAGTGCAACATAAATGGATGTCCGAAATTCATTCTACTCTATGTCGATGAATGAGGTATCTCGACTNCTCAACAAATATGTGTCTCTTATATATATAAGGAGTTCGCAAATCCTATATATATAAGGAGATCACAAACCCTAAAATAAATAAATAATTAAAATGACAACTAAACCCTTAAAAGTTAAAAGAAAATACTTAAAAGATAAATATTAAATTACTTTCATGATTAATCTAAATATCTATCCAATTCATATACGATCCCCATCATTCTCTTCCGGTTGAGAAAAACTCTATCCGGAAAGTCTTCAACGTAGAAGTACCCTACGAGAGCAAAACGAAAATGACAGAATGCTTTATCTAGAATGAAATAACCATCAATATATTTCCATCGATCAGAATAAATGCAAGAACCTCCACCCGTAGCAATGTAAATCTAGTCATGTAACACATCATCCATTTACCCCCAAATACGCGATAGAAGTGGAAAGATAAGATATCCAATTCCTANCTTTCATCGATCAGAATAAATGCAAGAATCTCCACCTGTAGCAATGTAAATCTATATCCATTTACCCCCAAATACGCGATAGAAGTGAAAAGATAAGATATCCAATTCCTACACGATCCCCACCACCCCCCCCCCCCTTTTTTTTTTTTNTAGCAATGTAAATCTAGTCATGTAACACATCATCCATTTACCCCCAAATACGCGATAGAAGTGGAAAGATAAGATATCCAATTCCTACACGATCCCCACCAACCCCCCCTTTTTTTTCTCCTTTTCTTTTAACCCCTCAACTTATATTTGGGAGGGCTTAGCGGATATGCTCATTTTGTGCAAAGAAATGTGATCAGAAATAAATCTTTGGGGCTCTCGTCTTTGGAATTGTTGACGTAGCCAGAGTTCGTGGACAATATAGATCATTCTGAATAGAGTGCAAAATAAATGGATGTCCGAAATTCATTCTACTCTATGTCGATGAATGAGGTATCTCGACTGAACAATATTTTGTGGTTTGTATTCATCTGTCCTCCTTTGGCAGGCACACCTGGTGACTGGAGTCACATTATCAAGCAGATTGGAATGTTCACTTTCACAGGGCTTAACTCAGAGCAAGTTGCCTTCATGACCAAAGAATACCACATCTATATGACGTCTGACGGGTAACAAGATCTAACTCATAGCTGCTAGTACTTTCTTTTCTTTTTCTTTTGGGTTCAGGTGTGCATGCCATAATAATGTTCAAGAAGTTGCAAATTTTCTAAGACCATAAAAGTCTATTTTTCATGGGGAAAGGTAAAAGAAATATTGTTGAGCTATTCTTTTCTGGTCATGGACAAGTCAAGGAAAGCTGCCTGCTGTCCATAGGGCTGATTTAGTTCGGAACTTAGGGTATGTGGGGCTTTATATAAGAATCATCATGGGGATATTTTCTTCCACAATATGTAGAATATCAACTCTGGCAGTATCTCCAGGTTATAATTCAATTGTGAAAACTTATGTCAAGGAAGAAGTTGTCAATTGTGAAAACTATCTTGATCCCATAGATTCATATTGCCTATACATGATTGCTTGCCTCTACATTAATGTATTCTGGGAATTTCATTGCTGCTATTTGAGTATCAATACGCTGAACTACTAGACTTGCAAATGTATAACCTGCGTACTATAATACTGTAATACATGCATTCATGTGTGACTTTTTTGGTATCTTGGCTAAGAACACCAGCAATTGGGACACTCTCTTGGGGACTTGGCGTGTCAGTACATCAGATTTTATTTTTTTGCTTTGTTTTTTGTTGTTGCTTTTTTTTTGGGTGCTTTTTCGTTCTGTGAGACTAAAGGAGAAAGAATACAGTCAGATGTAGTAGTTAAAATGTTACACCTTTGCTTGATAAGTCTTAAATATGAAGGCTATGCTAAGATTGTCTTTAGCATTTCTTGGCTTTGAAATGTAGGAGAAACCCACTGGATGGTTTCTCTCTCTCTCTCTCTCTCTCTTTGTGAGAAAACAGTATATACCAACGGTGTAAACTGTTACAAGTGCAGAACACTGTGGGATAAGTATATCATGGAAACAAGGTAGATTCATCAGCAGACATAGATGCATATCAATCATNGCTTTGAAATGTAGGAGAAACCCACTGGATGGTTTCTCTCTCTCTCTCTCTCTCTCTCTCTCTTTGTGAGAAAACAGTATATACCAATGGTGTAAACTGTTACAAGTGCAGAACACTGTGGGATAAGTATATCATGGAAACAAGGTAGATTCATCAGCAGACATAGATGCATATCAATCATGCATTGTGACCTTGGAACATTCGGCATCTCTATTTTTGTGGTTAAGATTTCCCCAACGACCAGTAGTACCATTCGTGAACCATTATAGTACTTGGGAGCTGTCACTTTCCACAAAGTTGCTTGAATATTCCTATAGTTTGCCTCCTTAAGATTGAAAAATACATGTCTTGTTGGCTGTCTTAATGCCAGCAAGTTTGGTGAAGGGGAAGAGATGGAGAAAAACTAGGAAGGTAAAAGAGAAAACAACAATAAATGAGCCCACTTACCGAAAAAAATAAAAATAAATGTGCACTACATGATCTTCATTTGTGGTGGGTTGCAAGTAGTTGTGTTTCAATAAGGAGCAAGCAAGGGCAGCTTCCTAAATGTTGTGTGTATAAGTAATGTTTGATTTTGGTTTTGATTTGTGCAGGCGAATTAGCATGGCAGGTTTGAGCTCGAAAACAGTTCCACACCTTACGGATGCAATACATGCTGCTGTGACCCGTGCTGTTTGAATCGATAACTGGAACTTGTTTTTCCTTGTCTTTCCCTTGCTATGGTGAGCTTCTTTGATCCTAATTCACACTGGTTATCTTTTATATGGCTTTTATTGATGTAATAAATTTCTCCTCAATAAATTGGAGAAAAAAAAAAGGTAGTTACATGTACCAAAATGTACCGAATACAAAGAATTTTGGACTACATCTTTTAGTAGCATATATTCCTTTGTATCCATCGTAACTCTGCCCACCCATTGCCATTTGGTTTTGAATTGCATGTCTTTTAACACTTTAAAAAGCAAGACCTAAGGTAGTCGGTGGGTCGTCTATGTTATTCATTTGAATTTATTGTTGTGTGTCTGTTTCATTTTGGTTTGCGCGGGGTGGCCCAAGACTATTTGGGGACAAACGNGCCTTTGTATCCATCGTAACTCTGCCCACCCATTGCCATTTGGTTTTGAATTGCATGTCTTTTAACACGTTAAAAAGCAAGACCTAAGGTAGTCGGTGGGTCGTCTATGTTATTCATTTGAATTTATTGTTGTGTGTCTGTTTCATTTTGGTTTGCGCGGGGTGGCCCAAGACTATTTGGGGACAAACGAGACCTTCTATTTTTTATTTAAAAATTATTTTTTAGATTAAAAGTAGTCTAATTTTTATTGTGATAATCAATCATTGGTAAGATTTTATCAATTTTAATTTTAAACAATTATAATCTATTGATTTTAATTTTTATAGTTTAATAACAAAATATTTTGGCTAAAATGCACCAAGATATTTTCCATCCAAGTTCACAGCGTGTGTTGCTCACGTGCATGCTCTAGCGTTTGGAGTAAAAAAAAACGTTACAAAGACGAAAAGAAACCCTTCTCTCTTTCTATCTCGGTGTACCCAGACTTCTATCACTCTCAGGCTCTCTTTCTAAGTAGACGCGACGACCCACGACGACCACGGTTTGGTCTGATTTCATATTGGTTCAATTTTGTTTCCTTTCTGGGCAGTGTTTTTGTGGTGGTTTTATACAGTGGAGATGACTGATTTAGCTTTGGATTTTTGACGTTTTGATTGGTGCCGTTGCAATGTGTGCCGTTGCAGTGAGGTGGTTAATATGGTGCATTGAGTTGTGGTGTTGTGGGTTTGGCGATTTGGACTCGATGTTGAAATTGAAATGTTGGGTTTGGATTTGCTGAAGAAGAAAGGGTTGTGTCGGCCAGAGGAGGAGGATTAGCTAATTGAAGAGGTTTGCGATTTGGACTGCGTTTCAACTGCGACCTGCTGCCATGATCACCCACTACCACGAACCTCTTCTTTTTTTTCACCTCTTAGGTTAATGAATATGTGATGGATGGATTAATGTGGAGGTGATGAGTTATTGGGTTGGGGGCGAATGTGATACTGAATCTGTGATGGATTAATCATCACCGGAGAGGCGGAGAAGATGAGCCCCGAAGAAGAGTGGGCAGGGGCATCGAAGGCATTTTAGCGTTACTATTAACGGAGTTATGCAGTGCATTTTAGTTCAATAACATTGGGCGGTTGTGTGCTATTTTAGAATCCTAAGAAGGTGATGTGTAAAGGGGTCAAACTACAATGGAATAAAATAAAGTTTATCCTTTAATTTGGAGGAATGATTTTTAAAATAAAGTTTATCCTTTGGGAGATTTGAAATATTTTGTACTTTATTATATAAATATGGGTGAGAGTTTTTTCCAGATATTTGGATGGATTAAACAGTAATCATTTAATTTTTCGACAGGACTAGAGAAGATTGTTCAACAACAGCTACTAAATTGCAGTGAACAATGTAGCCGTCTTCTCTTCTCATCTAATGTCTTAAAAATCCAGACAAGAACATGAAATACACCCTGTACACATAACCCTTTTTGATAGAAGAGGTTAAAGGGATAATAAATGAGTCAAAAGTAATCTTTTCTATCACGTCGTGATAGAAAAGAGTGTGGTAGCATCTTCATTTCTCAAATAGCGACATAGTGTGGTAGACTCATTCAATGATCACCTCACATTGAAATTTTCTCACTCCCAAATCCATCATTTCTCATTTTAAAAGCACGAATTACCCCTAATATTCAATAAAAATGATGACCTCAAATGTAATCTCACAACTAAAACCTCCGGAATAACACTAAGACTATCTCAAACCTCTTTTGTGCCCATATACACTGACCTCTCATGTTATACCATATCTATTATGTATTTTTTCTTATTAATAAACAAACTTCATGTAATACCATATCTATGATATATGTTTTCTTTCTAATAAACTAGTTACTCAACATTACATACAACTATAAGCTTACTAACTTGAAACTTTCAGTCGTCAATCAAAATTCCAATTCATGACTTGTAATTGGGAAATAGTTTTTATTTTTTTTTCTTATGATCAGGTTAGTTAAAAATTTGAGAATGAATGATTTGATTATTGTGCTGATGTTAAAAAACACATAAATCAATTTACAATGACATTATATATCACCAAAAAACTCTCCAATCAACAATGGATTGACCTTCAAATATATTTTTAGAAAGAACAAATTTTTAATAAAAATGACCTCGAATGTAATCCTACAATCAACCTCTCCTAAATAATGGTAAGTCTATCTCTCTCTCAACCCTATATTAATGACAGGAGATTTGTGCTCAAGGTTTACGGACGTCTAATGTAATACCATATCTATCATATTTTTTCTCTTTAATAAACGGCCAATTACTCAACAGTATAGTCAAATCAATTTCCAGTGCCATGCTATCAATCACCAAAAAAAAAAAAAAACCTCCTCACTTAACAATGGACCAACCTTCAACTATATCTTTTCCTGCTTGTACTTGTCTATGATACAACCCCCCCTCCCCCAAAAAAAAAAAAAAAAGTCAATACTATACTGATATTCATCATATTTGTGAATATTTTTACCACTATTATAATTGTTTTTATAATTATTATAATGGTACCAAAAAAAATGATTAAAATAATTATCACAATAGTGATAAAAATACTTATAATAATAGTAAAAATAGTTACCACAATAATGATAAAAATACCCACAAAAGTAAAATTATCTACAAAAATGATAAATTTTTTGGTAGTAAAATAACCCACAAAAGTTGTAAAAACACCCACTAAAATAATAAATTTTAGAGATACGGAACTGAATTTTTGATTTTGGTACCCTGGTCAAGTCCTTCCTGCTTAACAACCTTAGACTGCAATTAAAGTAGCAGGACCTCTCTAGGTCTGCAAAGCAATTTACAGCACAGAATCCTGCATATTACATACAGTATGACTGAAACCCTAGATCTCATTGAGACACTTCCTCCTCTACAATAGAAGGATGAATAACATAAGCCTCACACTGACCAAGCATAAGAATAAAAATACATTCGTTTTTTGTATTACAGAAAGGAAGACAAAAAAAATCCGGGCGCATTTTCCTTGTTCAATAGCGGAGGCATTTTTTATACAAAGAGGAAAGAGAGAAGAACTAGGACACATATGATCTTTAAATAATGCTATATAGATAAAATTCTCATAAACTACCACAACAATTGGATTAAGAGAATTGAAAATGAAAAATACACACATATATATATAAACTCTCATATGTTACAAGCACATGGTATGGCTGACAAAACATGCTACCTGCAACCTTTCAACAGATAGGAAGTCGGACTCGAAATATTTAGGGTGGACGGATGTCTCCTACTCTCTGTCCCCTTTCCGGGTGTACCACATTCACTGAAATCAAGTATGCGCCGCTCTGTCTGCAAGTGTTTTAAGGAAAATATTAGACTTTTTTTTAACAAATATAGAAGGCTAAAGATAAAGTGTACAGTTTGGCCAAATCCCAAGACCTCTCCCAATTACCTATTCTGCAAATCAACTGGATCAAAAAATAAAAACTAACCAAGCTTTTTCTACTAGAAGATATAGAAATTGGAGGGTTTTATATAGGTTTCTTTGATAACTGAACAAGCACATATTTCATGCAATATTTGTCAAGAAGAATTCACAAAGTTAAGCATCACAGGGAATTTATGTATTCGGTAGCGCCCATAAAGCGACATCATCTTCACTATGGGTCTTGTTTGGGGATCAAATAAAATGAGCTCAAGTTTACACCAGCTCAGAAAAAGAGTGCTAGGGTTAGAACAGCTTGTTGGAACAGAATTTTTCAGCAAATTATTGCATGTAACATTTTATACGGCGGTATAAGACCCTGCCCACCCAAGGAGAAGGGAAAGGGAAAAATTATTTCTTCAATCAGTGGTAAAAAGCTTAAATGGCTGGAGGGATGGGAGTAGGCTTGTATCACCCTCCAACGTGTCAGCGCCATGGAATAGTAACAAAATAAATTGGCAACATATGTAAAATAATGTTTCAAAAATTTATAGAAATAATTCATGAAAATAATGTTCTAAGTAAAGCCAGCATACCAAGGAATTTGAAGCCAAAAGGAAACAGTTCTCTGGCTGACTGTTTGGAATGAACTCATTCTCTTGATCTGCTTTCTTATTTTTGGAGCATCTTTCCCTCAAAATTGTTTCAGGAGTTTCATTCCCCAAAACCTCCTGGGCTTCAGCAAATGCAGTTGCAGTATGCTCGCTTAACTCTTTTATTAACCCAATGGCATCATAGCTTCTGTCCCCTGGGCTCATAAAATACCCAATATCCTGCAAAAAATTCCTAGCATTTACTACAGAAAGATGGATAAACATGTAACTTATGAATCATATAATTGCAGAAAAATATGACTACAAGAACAACCGATACCTCAATTGTTATATCTGTATCAACTCTTGGGCCTGGAAGAAACGAGTTAAGGAACCAAGGAGATTTCCATGCTGAAGGAGATTCAATACTTCTTTTGAAAGGAGTTTCACCGAATCTGGGAACATAAACCACAGTGAGACAAACCAAAGAAACCATTGCAAGATAAAATAAAAAGTTTATGACACAGTATTTTCTACTACTTTCTAAAAAAGGGAAAAAAAACCTCTGAAAAAGTAATATAGACAAAATGAAGGGATTAAAGGAAAAGTTGATATGCTGCAGATAGCTCACATGCTTGTGTTTTGAACACCAGCATTATTCCCAGAACTTTCAGCCATATTGTCCAAGGTAGCTGATACAGAAGCAGATTCTACAGATATGGCTGCAGCCGAATGACTTCCATCCTTCTTCCCACAAATAGAAGGTGTGATAACAACTGATAAACATGGAGCCTCGGATGAAACAACACCTGCTTCTAACCTCCTGGGATTCTGATTTTGAACAGCTCTAGCACTTGTAGGCATGATTTTGTCTAATTTAAGGCCAAATTGATCAGGAGAATAGAATAGCAGATCATTCATGTTATGTTCAACAAGAACTCCGGAAGGCTGTTGCAACTGAGAAAACAGAAGAGCAAGAGGTTTCATCAGATTCAGTTATTTCAGTCATCAATGTACAATAGATTAGCAGAATAATCACAAACGTGCAACTACACCCATCTGAGCAAGTTTCATATACTTAGGAAAGTCTCATTCATATATTATTGCAGGATCATTTAACTATCCTCTCCCTCCATGCACCCCGCACCCCTCCCCCCTCTCTCTCTCTCTTAAAAAAAGGGGAAAAAACACCCCCGGAGCAAAAAGAGAAAAGCAAAGGACTCACAGTTTGGGCTGTAGTATCAGCATCACCCTTGGTCTTAGCATGGATACCAACAGTTCCTTGCTCCATCTTCTCCTGGAGATCACTAGTATCAAACTCTTTGCCAGGAATTCCATTCTCCGAATTTTTAGGGCTTTCTCTGCCCTCCCTTTCTCCCATTTCAGAATCATGACTCAAATTTTCTTTATCTTCCATGGAAGCTCCAGAATTTCTTGTTTGCTTTGATGATGGAGATAGTGGAGGTGCATTCTCATCAAACATAACCTCCAGTCGAGAAAAATCTTTGGCCAAGTCAGAAAAAGACTCCTGCTTGAGATCAATTTCAAATTTCTTTTCTCTTCTCTTTTCTGACAAAGGTGACACCAAGTCCCGGTGTCGTTTCTTTAATATGGATGGCGTGCATGTGAAAGTTTTGGCAGCACTTTTCAGCACAGCATCTGGGCTACCATCCCGTGATGGTGAGTCCCATAGCCTAAATGGAGTAAGACAGTTCATAGAAGACATCATCAGTTGGCGGATACCCAGAGGACTATACTCTTGCTGCATATCACTACTAGACTGTATAAGATCACAACTGAAAAAAGGAATATCCAAGCTTGGAAAACGAGGAGGCTCATAAAACAAAGCTCCTCCCTCATGCTGTTCAGCTGGTTCATCTGGATTTTCGTCATTGGAAAGACAACTTTGGACATTATTTGATAGTCCTGAACCAAAAGCATCTACAGGAACTAGCTCTGGAGAATCCTTCGCTTGATCTAATTGCTCTTGCAGGCCCATATCATATGTTCCAGTATCACATTGAGAACTAGCAGAGTCATTGGTATAGATAAACCCATCATGTTTTCTTGTATGAAGCTCCTCTTCGTGATTCCCAAATGAGAGATCATTAAACTGATTGGGGTCAATACCAAAGATAAGTGCACCATCATCAGGAGGAAGCGGTGAAGGAATAGGAAAAGGTTGAGAAAATGAAGTTCCCAACATGTCAGGCATCGGAGGATAGTATGGTTGTGAAGCTGAAGTGCCAGCTTCAGGGATGTGATAGTTTGCTGATTGATAAAGTAACAAATCTGTGGGTCCATCCACACCACTAATATTTAAGAACTTTGAAAAATTTCCATAGGAGTAACATCCATCAGTCCCTGCCTGGGGATATATGAAACTACAACTTCCATCTTCAGGTGTCAACGTGTGCTCTAGTTTATCACAACTCATTTCTATGTTCCTTGTAGGAGTAGAAGCACTTTTCACAGAATTCTGTGATGGAAAAGACACCCCTTCACGGTTTATATTGCCATCTATGTATGGCATCAATAATCCTGATGATTCCTGTCCTGGATCCATTGAAGATATGTTAGGTAAATCATTTGAATTCAGCTGCCAATCTTTACCTGAAGAAGTTCCCCAATCGTGTGCACAATTATGTTCAAGAAACTTGGAAGAACTACCCACTTCACAAGGTACTTCTGTCAAAAAAGCAACTTCTTGAAAAGGTGTATAATTTTCAGAACATGATGCTGGACTGGAGCTGGGATCCTTTCCATGACTATATTCGTCTATTAGTCGGCATTCCTCTCTTGTATGTATAACTGCATTGGTCATGTCACTCGTTGATTGAGAACAACCCACAACAGTTGAACCTTGACTACACTCAGAAATTTCTTCTGCTTCTGTCCTGTCTTTAGGAACACTATCATCTCCACTGCTCTGTTGCACCCGAGAAGAAGAAGGCATGGACTGGTTCAAATGGCTCACAAGAGGCAGTCCTTGGAACTGCTCAAGTAAACCTGATGCCAAGTATGAATCCAGTTTCTTTTTCACAGAACTATTCCAATGGTTTTTTATGGCATTGTCTGTCCTGGGACCACGTAAACAAAGAAATTTCAGGACCCAAGGTGGTGAAGACAAATCCAACATTACCTTTCTAGTAAGCAAAAGACAAAATTCAACATAATAAAATACACAAATGGAAGCAAAACAACTCCAAAAGATAAATGAAAACAAAGGCTGTAAGTATGATAAATATGCAAAAGGTAGAACTTCAGATGACCGAGAGTCATACCTCCCGGGCAAGAATTTCATTAACTCCGCCCATTTGTTCCCATAAATTTGATGAGCACGAATCAAGGCCAATTCCTCTTCTTGTGTCCAAGCTTCCTTCTTGATAGCAGGATTAAGATGATTATGCCATCTAAAAAGTAAATGTAAGGGCAAATAAGTTTACTAACAACATTAAAACATGTGCATACATTCAGCCTGCACCCACTAGTTTAAGATACACTTGCACCTTTGATGACTTTGACAGCTATAGACTAAACATACTTTCCGAAAAAAAAAAAAAACAGCTATAAACTAAACATCAACCTCCCTACACTCACAAAAGAACAAATAAAGAATAAGTAAATATTGCTCTAATGAGCCTAACAGTTTTTACTCTGACACACAAAGTGCATAGTGGACAATTCACAACAAGATCCTTAAAAATAGATAAATTCAAATAATTCTCAACAAATAACAAGCAGCCTCTGTTAATGCTGTTGACATGGGTAAGACACTGGTAAAGTTCAATTGAGACAGATCTCTGGGACGTTAGAAACACCTGTTAGGAGGTGCCAATCTAGTGCATAGGGTGAAGGAATTTGGATTTGGTTAAGCAATTTGCCATCCTTGGGCAACCTAGGGAACGCAAATATTGAAACCCAAAAAAAAAGAAAAAGAAAAGAAAAGCAGAAGCAGTACATTTCGATAATTATAGTAGTCATAGAAGGTCATATAAGGCAGGGAACAGTGAACTAAAGATGCAGTAGAGTGGTGTTGCAAACTAAATAACTAAATCCATCACAAATGACACTAGATTCTTTTGACTGACAAAATTTTGTAACCATACCATATTTGTGAGATTGCCCGGTTTAGGGGCATTACTCAATTTGGCCTTGTTAGTCGAGGGTGTTGGGAAGGATGGATTGGGCATGGACTTTAACCTTTGGCATTATTTGCACAAAGTGACCGCCCTAATTCACTATTGTTAACCTAACAAATATATCAATGCATCGAGCAACAGATACAATTTCAAGTGTAGTTCTCTATTTGTTAATAATCATCAAATCATGTAAACGAAGTTGCACTGTATATTGAACGTTGAACAACTTAAACCCAGAAAAACCACTCATACACTCTTCAATTCCCACTGACCCTTTTGAGAGTCATTGACAATAGAAAGCCACATGAGCATGGAATGACAAAGCAACTGTACAAAGAACAGAAATTAAGATGAAGCTCTCAAAACTCACCTTTCCCGACACTGCTTTCCTATACGTCCCGGTAAATGTTGTGCAATTGTGGACCATTTTTTTGGCCCATATTTGTTCACTAATTCTACCATTATTTCATCCTCCTACACATATGTTAAAAGAATATTAATTGGTCATTTCTAAGCCATAAATGAAATATTTAAATAATTGAAGACAAAGATATTGACAAAAACATGACTAATGGAGCAAAGTTGACAAAAAGAAGGGAACAAAAAAAAATGAAACAATAATTGCCTCACCTCTTTAGACCATGGACCTTTGACAAGTTCTGGATTTAAAACTTTTTGCCACCTGTGTAAACACTGTACATCGGTCCGATCCTTGAAACATTCCGCTACATAAGGCATGAATTTACAATTAAAATAACCAATTGTCTATCAAGCAATCCTGCCAGGTTGGAGGTAACCTCAAACCAAGTAAGAACGAACTGAGAAAAAAATGGATATTATAATTTGGTTGGGTGCATGGTAGCATTTAAGTGATTGACTAAAACAGGCAACACACTACGCAGAAGAAGCAGAAACCACAAAAGGCCATCATTGAATCAAAAGTGTGGCCCCTAATAGAAAAGGTCAGCAGAAATTATACCCAAAGAGTTTACAAGATTTCCACCAAAAAATCAATAGGAAAAATAAACAAGAGCCAACTAACAATAAAAGTGTGTAGCATTGAAAACAAGATGTCATAAACACCACAAATGATTCTTTGCACAATATAGAATTGTTGGAGACAACTTTGCGCTGAAGCAGTTGGGAGCTAGAATTTTCTCTATTGGGAAAAGAAACAGATATCACATGCTAGAAAAATTGAAGTCCAACATTCAAGGCACAAGATTAAAGTCATTATGTTGTTTTGATTCCTGAAATTGGCATAAACAAACTAGTAAATCTGTTTTTTATGCCCATCTAGCACCCCAGAACTCTGGACAAAATGCTAATATAATTATCTTATACATTTCAATCATGCACTGCAATTGCATAAATTTATATACATTCTAGATAGCATCGAATCGTTATTTAGTTGATAGAAAAACCCAATAAAAGGATTCAGATTTCATTCACACGAATAATTATCACCTCATAATAATTTAGGGGACAAGCTAGTCCTGATAATGGCACTTGGAATGTTAAATTTGCTCTCCTCCCCATTATTATCACCTAGGATGGAAATGAAGACAGTTGATGCCGCATCCATGGACTGTCTAGCTTTCAAAATATTAGAAAAATTAAAAAGTTCTTTTTGCGACTTTATGCTTCCCAATAATGTTTCCAAGTATCTATCTTGTTATCAAGCCATGTGGGGACCGCACCACTTATAGAACTGTACCAAACCCATCAATAGATCATGATACTCACGCGCCATCTTTAGCAACATATGGTCCTCCCCTCACCCTTTAAATTCTCACCTATAACAAATGGTCCGGCACGACTGGATGTTGCTGATGAAAATTTTATTGGCTTTAAAGAAATATCTGTAACGAGTGTTTAAAATTTACAAACATGGAACATGAGTACTAGTGCATAATTCCGATTCAGTATTTCAAAGATGAAAGTGAAAAATAAAAAAGGCCCCCTAAATCCCTTCTGCTAGTCCACTTTTGAAATAACAAGATCATAAAATGTTGGACAGTTTCTCAAAGGTTGTGAACTTCGGCAGTACTCAACTCTTAAGAAGGGATAGTAGTCAATTCCTTGGCTATATAGTTAAAAAAAAATCCTTGTTTCTTATTTATAACTTAATACTCATTTAAAAAAACTACAATTTATCAAAAAGATAAAACAAATGCATCGGTTTCACAGCAATACCTATTTTTTTCCAATTTTTCCCTTTGAAATGTTGAACAGCCTTCCGCAAAATCTCATCCTACATGGAAAATGAAAAGCCATCTCATCAAACATACATACCAGTATGCTTGAAAACAGATTTATATAGAGATCAGGGAAATGACACAGAAACTCAATGAACCTTTGCAGGTACAGATTGAACGTCATATGACCACATCATACCCGTGCGCGCGCGCCGGGGGGTGAGGGGGTATGCATCAGCATAAACCCATATATACGTAACATGAAAAATACTTCACTTCTTGGAGTAGAAGAGGAGAGAAAATTAATTGTACAACAGAATGAGAGGAAATATGTTCTCTAAATCTAAAGGTGTCAATTACAGAAAATTACTAAAAACAAGGACTTTTGATTAAGGATGGCATAAAATTTAATTGTATGTATGATGGCAGTCAATATCGCTAATGTTAAAATTGCAACTTGATATTACATGTATAAGTGAAGAGAGAAAAGGAGAATAAAAACTAGTACCTAAAAATAAAAGACAAAATATATGTTGTTGAAATCATATCTAGCAAATACAAGTATTAAAACCAAAAGGCAAGAGGAATCCATGGCTCATCATAGACAACTCAGCAGCATGCTTAAACCACATAAGCAAGAAATTCCAAAATGCAAGGAAACCAAAGAAATTGCAGTTTTACTTAGAACACCTTTGTGCGAAAATAGAATTGACATTGTAAAAGTGTCCGATACATAAACAAAAGTTTACAACACAATAAAGCAATAATGATAGGCTATAATATATCTAGTTATCAACCATGACATATATTATCAACAATTTCAAAACAGTGCCTATTTACCTCTTCAGGGGTCCATTGCCCTTTTGTGGAACGCCTTGTTGGGCCACTGGTCCTCCTATAAAGCAGTGTTACAATGTCATCCGAGGTCAATTTTGTGAGAATAATAATCGCTCTCCTAATCAAATGGGGTGCTAGCCATATGAAAAAATTCATTAGCAGATCATTACTTGTGTTATATGTGCGTGTGTGCATGAGTGTAGATGCTATGGGGAAAAAAGGCAAAAAAGTGGCGAAAGTACAGTAGAATACCATCATTCTTGTGCAATAAAATCTCAATGGAAGGACAAAAAAGTAGCAAACTCAACTACTAGCGTAATCATAAAAATTATAAGAATAGTCATCATAGAATGCTTTCTTCTCACATTGTCTTATCCATCATTTACTCAAGAGAGCGAGCTCTACTTGCTTCTTCTGTTAAGTTGAAGATGAAAATCTCCTCACAAGGGCCCACTCCATGAGACAACAATTCCTGTACCCTTTTATCTTCATGGTATATGTCCTCTTCTACCCCCATAGTATACCTACCCTTCTCCCTCAAACATTTTATATTCATATATACAAATGGAAAAGAATGTAGTCTTGTTCCGAACAAACCCCCCTAACCATCAACAGGTGACTTACATCCGCACCACTCTAAATAGGTAAAATCTGCAAGAGTTGAAGGTGCTAAGCACCACCAGAGACGTTTAGTCTGGCTGAAGGGTCGCAAACTTTGTTGAAAGGTGCAGTTTTTTACACCACTCATCCAAAACAACTACTAAAATTACTGTCCCGAAACTTGATACTGTTACTTGCACCAGAAAATATGTGATCTTATAACATGAGATGACTGATACCAATCATCTAACAGATACACCTTATTCAAAATTATAAACGCTTCAAAACTATGACAAGAACACAGAGCCGATTTACCTAATGACCTTAGCAGTAAACAGTAAAGGGCAGGTTTTTACTTTCCATAGTATTGGCATACCCATGTAAAGGTCGGATTTTTTGAAGGCCATCATTGACCCCATCTGAAGGAATGGTGTTTGTCCTATCACTTTCCATACTTGTTTGACAGACAGACAAAGCTGCATACTGCGATTCCCACTTGACAATGGTTTTCTCCAGTGTGTCTCCTCCAAATCATCATCAATTTCCCTAATATGGGGCAGTAGCTTCCTTCTCACAAAATGACATCAGAGGCTGAAAGAGGAACAATGGCAAATCAGAATATAAAAAGCATAACAAGCATATCAAGTATACATATACCCCCAGAAAGGAAGTCAACTGCTTAGAATTTATATGGAGAACATGTATTTTGTCGGTCAAATAACCTCAAGATTTGATATCAGGGAACACAAAAGGGCCAAAGGGGGGATCATGAATCCTTCAGACAAAATGTGAAATTGTAAACTCAACAAACATGCTTTTTTTTCCAATTCGGCAGCCTTTATTTGACGTGACTAAGTGACCTGCTTATACTATTTCTTGGTATGTGACATATTCGCTCAACCAATAAAAACACCCTCCATGTGTATGTGTGTGGTTTATGTTAATTGATCCTTCGTTGTTTCTAGTTCCAACAGCTTAGATTTTGTCAAAAAAATTCCCAATCCCGGATTTTAGATGCTAACCTACTTACATAATCAGGTAAATCTTGAGCTCTGAAAACACAAACTAATAATAAAACTATCTCATCTATGCAAATTCCATATTCTTCTATCCAAGCAGCTTCCAAATCACATCCTCACCTATGCTTGCCATATTGTGGAACCCACCATCTGTCAAAAAATTTCCATTCGGGGCATTTACTTCCTCTATCGAGACAAATCTACTTTTTCATTTGATATTAAAATACAAAATTGATTCAGTATATCATAATTCAGTAAAATCCCAGATACCAATAGTCAAACACGATACCTACAAATTTAACAAAACTAATAAGAGCATAAAATTACATCATCCAAAGTTAAAATAAGTGAAATTTGATAAGAAAACACATTAATTTGAATTTCAATCGATGAATTCTTAGAAGACTTTAGGTCTTGTACATAAAACTCAATATAGCACATTCAAAATTAAAATTGTAGACAAAAAAAGTATCAAATTGAACTTCTAAAAATTAGAGTTAACAAATAAAACAATTTGATCAGAAAAGAAAAATGGACTCACGAAACTGACCTTTGAAGTATGTAATCGGCCGAGAGAGAGAGTTGAAATGGCTGATGATGCAATCGATTCGACGCACACTGCAGATCCGACTAAAGAGAGCAAGATCTGCAAGTGCGCAATGAATTTAGTGAGAGAATGAGTGAGAGTGTAGAGAGAGAGAATAGAAAAACGGTCCGAGTTTTCAAACATGAAAGGGGCGGACTATGTAGTTCAAACCCTATGCCTAAACGTCGAGCATCTTTCGAATGAACCCACGGTACAGATCGACCCGTGAGCTAATCTGATCCGTCCATTTTTCATAATTATTTGAAATGAAAATATTAAAGTCCAACGGGCAAGTTTTCTACCTGGTGCAGCCGGTAGGCCTTTTTGTATATATATGCCGACTATACTTTTTTTATTAAATGCTAATGATAATAATTATTACATTTTGTCAAAAATAAATAATAATTATGAGGATTGCATTTTCTTGAATATAAATAATAATAATTATGAGGATTTACCACGTATTTGTTGTACCGACCAATTTGTATTATTTTGAGAGATCTTTATTCATATACTACACGATTAGACCAATGCATACGATTTATTTTTGCAATCAGGTTAGATTCTATAGGCTTGAGTTATTTACTATTTATAGCAGAGGAAACTCTTGTGTTTAAGTAACACTGCAAAATTAAATTTGAAACACCTAGAATGATTTTATCTTTATTATATTAGATTTTAAATTATATATGTTGTCGTAACACAAATGGATGTATGTCTGTCAACAAAATACCTTATCACCAATAGTTAAACAAATTCAGTTGTTTTCTAGTCAACGCACACGTGTATTTATTTATTTACTCAGTATAGGATACAAATGTTTTCTTGTCGCGTAGTTTCTGATAGAATAATTTTATTGCAATGCAAAAAAGTTAATAAAATAAATGTATATTGCTATAATTTCAAATTTCACAAGATAGAAAAATAGTAATTGAGAATCTTATTTTAAATTTGTCTTCGATTATCCACTATAAATGGCGAGATGATTCAAAATATTTTTGACACGTGTTTTTTTTTTGTATCTACGACATTTGTTTTCCAAAGATGTCAATTCTAAAGATTTAAAATAAGAGACGTATTAAGACATCAAGATATGGACGAATTTAAAAATGGAGTTAGATGAGCCCAGAATTAACTGGGCTAGGGCTAGACCATGGGTTAATCCTAGATCATAAGAAAGGCTAGGCCTAATTCATGGCTTATGTCCAGCCTGAATCTCAAGAGTCCAAGAAATGTCAACACATGTTGGGAGTAATTATCGGGATCGTCACGACTCTAAGATAATGCCCTATCATCAAGCGTAGTTATCCTTCCCAGAAGTCTAGTAGTTTAACATTCACGTCATCGCCTCAATTAGGACTTTGTGACTATAAATTGTAAATCTTTTACACATAGAGACATCTTATACATACCACACCTTAAGCTTACTTTTACTCTCCCTCTCTCTCACCCACTACTTCATTCTCTTATTAATAAAGTTCTACAACTAGCATTGTCGTCTTTAGTGGTTAGGTCACCTAGGTCCAATTACCCAATCCACTCAATCTTTGTTTTTTACTATTAATTACCTTGTATCATACACTTAACTAATTCGATTATGCATAATCAAACTTGTGTATCATCAGAGTTCATTAAATTTAATAAAACAAAATTACAAATCCTGGATTGATTATTTATGTAATGATAAAGCTCACAATGAGTTGTGACCTTTGGGATTTGTGTCATGTTGTATTTTAATCTTGTTGTATGAAAACTGATTCAAATCACGCATTGTGCATTAGTAAACAAATTAATTGTAAATTTGGATACGACCCGTAAATTTAACAAATTACACAACGCATACAATAAGCAGAAAAAATGCTTTGTGTCAAATCGAGTACAAGTTTCGCATGCTTAAAGGGTAATCCTAGTACTAATGAGCAGCTAAGTCATTAAACCTTAAAAGTGAAAAGATAAATTTGTTGGGAAAATCTGAACTAAATTATCACCTCTACTGTACTCACTTTTTAGTAGGGTGGTAATTCAATTGTGTAATATTAAGTTCGTGTCGGATTATTGTGAGTTCATGTTGAATATTAATCAACTCTAATCCAATTCATTTAACTAATTGTGTCGTGTCAAGTTGATTTATTTATTTTGGTGTCACCTTCATGTTGACCCACATAAATTTTAAATAAAAAATTTAACGCTAATATTCTATGTTCATTTAATTGAATTCATGTTCATACTTTATCTACAAACTAAATTAACTTAATAATAATAATGAGTAAAAATATCTTTTTTACATAATAATTATATCAGTACTTAAATAAATAATTACAAATAATTATATTTTATTTCTATAATACTAATTAAAAATGTTTATTCGTGTTCGCGTGTCGAGTCATTTTTGAGTTTGTATTGAATTATAATCGAATTCGTATCATAAAATTCATGTTGAGTCGAAAATTATCATCCCTACTTTTAGGTAAATCGGTGTATGGAGAATGTGTATAAATAACTATAGATTTTATTTATAGATTTATGATTGGAATTAGAAACAATGGCTATTGAATTTTTGACCAAAGCAACAATTATCAGAATTATGATGTGAGCAAAATAACTAAAAGTGTTGTAATTTAAAATTAGAAATAAAGCATGCAAATAGTGGTTAAATCATTAGAATATAACATGTGATTTAAATGTATACATACAATTTATATAAACTAAATAAATTTATTTGGAAAGAATTGGTCTGCGAGTCTGAGAGACGAGTGATCGTTGTTCTAAAACAGCTGAGTCTCCCCATGTGAGAGTACTAACGAACACCAGCAACTCCAAGATCCAACCCAAATACTCGCAGCAACACTTTCTCAATACTCACGTCCCTGGAAAGTTAAAGTGAATCAGACTCAAATCGAGTTACTCCAAATAAAATAATAGATGATAATTAAAAAAGTAGGACAAGTAAAAAATAATAATCAATTAGAAGGTCTCGCGAGTGGATTTCGTTGATTTTTAAAAGATTTCTCAAAGTCACTTTATATAACCACTGTATAACCTATGTTCAATGGCTTTCAATGTTTTTTTTGACCGTTTGGCCTAACCTGACTTTTTAATGGTTTTTACTGTTTGGCCTTGAATAGCCATAAAACCAATTTTAAGGTTAATAATTATTATTCTTGAATATACACACTAAATAGGATCAAAAAATTTACAACTGAATTTCACAGTTTAAACATAATTAACATGAAATTCAATAAAAATTTTAAAAACTTAATTTTATTCTTACAATTTATCACAAGTTTTTGAAACTTCAATGTATTTCAAATATTTTGTATATACTTTAATATAGAAAATATGTGCAATTATTACACTGTGCAATAAGTGTAGGTGTTTTTCGGATTTAAACCTTACTTAGTGTTGACAGTTTTCCTCTAAAGGATCATAGTGATCAAATGCTTGAACTAGATCATTTGAACCAGAGTTCAAGATGTCACACACACAGTACCGATATTAGTCAAGATTTGCGAGTCAGTGCTATTAATGGCATTGCACTTGATCTTGATTCTCATGAGAATTTATAGAGAATAACTCAATTCTCATAGTCGCGGCCTCACGACTACTCTCACTTAGCTGAGCCCTCCAAGAGTACATGTACACAATACCCTGTAGGAGTGTTCTTGCCTCGGTCACATTCAGGGTAAAACCCTTCTTTATCGTCACACTACATATGCACTTCTGTCATAGGAATGAGTAGGAAAAATATTTTATCTTGGATATTTCCTAAATAACATTGCTAATGAGTAACGTAATATAAATTGTTTCTACTAATTGAATTTCCTTAATCACAGAAGTTGAATTACCTCCCTAAGTGACTCATTTGTGGGCTTAAGCCCATCACTCTCGACAGTTTTGAGACAGCTTTCCTTGAAAGCCCTTTAATTAACTGATTAGCAATATTAAGCTTAGACTTCACAAAGTCTAATGAGATTATGTTTTTACTCAACATTTTTTTTATTGATTTATATCTCACTTGTATATGTCTATTCATCTTTTTATTATTATGATTTTGCTTCATAAGCTCAATCACTGTCTTACTATCACAGTGTAATGAAATGACAGGTATGAGTTTTTCCACTAGAGGTATCTCTAACAATAAATTCTTTATTCACTCAGCTTCAGCACAAGTGGTACCTAAGGCTATAAATTCTGACTCTATAGTACTTCTTGATATTAGAGTTTGTTTTTTGGATTCTTGAGATATGGCTGCTCCTCTTAACAAAAAGACATAGACAATAGTAGACTTTATATCTAAACTATCGATGATCCAATTCGTATCACTAAAGCCCTCAACTAAACTAGGAAATCCACTACAACATAAAGAGTAGTCTAAGGTTCTTTTAAGATACTTGAAGATTCTCTCTAAGGCAACTCAATGCTCTTTACTCGGACTATGTGTATATCTACTCAATCTTCCTACGACATACAAGATATTTGGTTTAGATTTATTAGCTATGTATAAGAAAGACCCAAGCATTTGTGAAAACTTCAATTGTGAAATCGGTTCTCCTCTATTTTTCTTCAAATGTACATGAGGTTCATATGGTGTTGATACATACTTACTATCATAAAAGCCAAATTTTTTCAACATTTTCTTTATGGTGCTAGACTGACTTTGAGATATTCCATTAGATGTTTTCTCTATTTTCATTCCCAAGACTACATAGGTTTCTCCCAAATCTTTCATATCAAACTTAGTAGATAAATAAGATTTAACATCATTAATGACCTCCAAGTTTGTCCCAAAATTAGTTTATCATCCACATAGAGACATAAAATCACACAACCAATATCACTATCCTTGTAATATAAATATTTATCACTTTCATTAATTTTAAGACCATACTCTAGAATTACTTTATCAAACTTCTCATGCCACTGTTTTGGAGCTAGTTTAAGGTCATATAAAGACTTCACTAACTTACAAACCTTATGTTCTTGTCCTTTTACCATAAACCCCTTAGGTTGTTCCACATATATCTCTTCATCTAAATCCCCATTTAGAAAAAGCGGTATTGACATCCATTTGATGTATTACTAAGTTATAGATAGATGCTAAGGC